AACATATATAATACATATGCAACATAATACATACATATATGAGTTATTTTTTATGTAATATATTCTACATCATATAATGTTATCCATAATATGCAAAATAGATAGCTTGTATTTTTTATAAGTCTAATTTTCCTCGTTATATTTTTATGTCTACATATATACATGTATGTCTGCAACCAAGCACACAATTTGTTCTAATTATTCCAGGGTTGGCTCTCTCATTCTCTAACATGAACCCTGTTCTTTCCACATTTTTTCTTCCTCATCTGTGTTCTCTTACCTTCAGAACACAAGCCCAACCAGCCCTGTTTCCCAACCAGTTCTGCTCTTAGGCACCAGCAGATCTAGCTCATAAAATGCACAAACAAACTGCCAGGAGCAAGACTGATAAAGGACGTTTGTTCTTTCTCACACACCTTGGCTGCCTCTGCAATGCCTAACCCTACACACCAGAAAACTGAGTGAAGCTCCTCCCAAAAAGAAAGAGATTTATGCTAAAGAAATCGGTCATCTACATAACCTCCTTCTTATTCCCTATAGCCCCAGTCCTTTGGTTCAGACTTCTTTGTGCCTCTCTCTCTTTTAAAGAGCATGGACATCAAAGGACAAAGATTATTTTCATTACCTTGTCCACAGACCGAGCAACATTTTCAAACACCCTTAATTAAAAAAAAAAAAAAAAAACTGCTTTCTTCTCTCTCACTGCTGAAAAGCTCTGTCTAAGAGCACCAGGACAGGTCCTTCTGCTATCCAAGGAGGTGAGCCTTTCACCCCATGGCCAAGAGCACACTCTGTCCTTCAGCTGGCCTCTGTCAACTGCTGTGACCCTCCCTGAGGAGCTTGGCTTGGAGTTGGAGGGAGAAATGGTCTGGTCCTCGTTAAGGATGACAAACCGGCTCCCCATGTCTAAGGCTTAGGGATTTGGACCTGCACAAGGACTCATTTCCTTATGAAGAATCAAAGAACCTGACTGAGGAACCTAAACCCAAGTCTCTAAAATAGGCCACTAGTGCCAGTACTGGGGTCCGCGCCCTGGGAAAAAGTAAAGACCCAGTGATTAAGAAGATACCCTGAAGTGGTCCTGGGCACAAGTCAGAGTCCTCCGAGATGGGACAAACTCCTCAATGCTGCGCTTAATGCCTGTCCCCACACCGACAGCAGCTGCCAGACCACCACCAAGTCCGCAAAGAAGTCCCCAAATTACCAAAAATTGATGGCAGAAATGCCCCGATTTCGTGGTGGGAAAGGAAAGATTGTGAGGAGGTGAGCGACTTACCCAGGACGTTCAACTGGGTCCCTGTGCCGAAAGCAGTAGCACCAGTAGTACCACCAGCACTAGCACCACCAGCAGCAGCATTATCAGCATAATGGGTATCTTCAAACACCTGCAGCCTATTTGCTGCAGTAGTGCCCAAGCTCTGGACCTTCAGAGATGTGGTGGGATGGACAAGGTGGGATGGACACAATGGGCCATAGATGCTGTGATGGACATGTCACGGGGGGAGGAACCTTGAGAGATGCTGTGGAATGAAAGGTTCCCTGGTCATCACCTTTTCCTCAGATATAGCAATATATTCAAACACCCTTAATGTAAAAAAAAAAAAGATACCCAAAACACTCTCTAGGCTCCCACTGATGAGCTCTGTCCAAGAGCACCAGGACAGGT